TATTTAACAATTAGACCTCGAGGTCGAGTGGACTACGAGCTAATAGCCCATGAGGCCGAGTCCGCGAGGCCGAATGGGCTATTAGCTCGTAGTCCACGAGGCCGAGAGGTCTAATTGTTTTAGTATAAACATACTAATCGGTCAAATAATGAAAACAAATTGAAATATCCTTAAAATAATTTATAATTTATTTATTTTGATTTTCCCGCGAGTGGTCTATCACAAATTAGACCATTAGTAGAGTAGCCAATCACAGCGCAGTATGAGTGATAGACCATTAGTATGTTTATACTAATAAAAGTTATATATTTGGAGCAACGTATCTGAAGAAATGGTTTCCAGGAAAGCGCGCGCAAATGAACTGTTGGCCAAAAAAGCGCGCGCCAAACGAAAGTGTCACGTAACTTCGTCTTATTTCACTATTTCGTACAACATCACCAAGCAACATTCACAGACACATTTGATACTGTACGTGAAAAATTGCTTGATTCAAAATTGTTAAAATGGGAGGCTGTATTTCATTGAAACGCTTTAACTTCAATTACTACAGACTTCCGTACAAGCCTACCCATTTAATTGACATCTCTGCCTTTGAGCTGATATCTTCTAAGCACAATAATGGTAACAAAAGGTTGCAACTCCCTCCATGACTGGAAAGGTATAAAAGGCGTTAACAAGAAGAAACTCTGCTAATACGTTCATATTCAAGTCTAGAAACTTGTAGTTGGGAATTCATTTCACCTTCAAGGCTAGTTTTCGTAGCATTTGACGGAGAAAATGCAACGCTAATGAAACGTCTCTGCATGGATGTGGCTTTGTTACTTACAAACGAAATAGTGCTGTAGTAGCTATCCTTTGGGCAGTCACGATCACTCCCCTCCCCTCCCCCAGCCACGTAAGCCATGATACAACTCTTTTCATAACGCTTGCCATACATAAAACTAAACATGACAAAATCTTTGTTTAATATCATTCTTATTTTTATAATGTACATATATTTAATAGTTGCAAGTTGCGTGCCTTTTTCTTCAATTTATTCAATTTATATTTACAAGGATTTTATGTATAATATAAGTCATTTATAGTTGTATTATACAGGAAGTGTGCTTGACACTGTCTTTGTTACTGCTGATGAAAAGAGCTTAGTGAAGAACTTCATCCCTGTTGTACCACCAGGAATATAACTGACAAAATACCTGAAATATTGATGAATGGGAATTAGATGTATGAATGAATGGATGGATGGGATGAACAAATAAATGAATGACAAAAGAAAGAAAGAAATGGGTGGATGGATGAATGAATGAATGGGTTTACTAATTTATTGACCAACCAGCTGGCTGACTCACGGGCCAGATGTGATTTTTCAATAATTTGTAATAAAGAAATGGATAGACAAACGAATGGATGAATGAGAAATGAATGAACAAATCATACTTACCAAACTAATGTGATTACTTGAATTATAGCAAAAAAGAGAGTTAAAATTGTACTTTTTACCTAAAACGGATAAAGAAAAGCGACTTAAAAAATCTTAGATAATGGTGCATTCTACATGTATTTTGTTGTGAAACATTTCAGCTACGTACAAATAAAGCCATATAAAGTGTTGCTAACATTGACCCAAAGTATGCAGCAGTGAATGGCAGTCTTCCTAATGAACACAGATGCTTGACATGATTGACAGGTCCCCATAGCAATGAAAAACTATGATGAAATGAAATATTGTCAAGAATACAAATCAGACTAAGTACAGCCTTTTGCAAAAATTATGAGAATTGTTGAAATATATAAATATCATAATATCAAGTGCATGATCCCGCACGATGCCCTTAGTCCCTTATCTTTGTAGTTTAGTTTTTTTTTTGCGACGGACTTATCCGTAGTTCTGGACATTTTCTCGATGTCAACAATGAATTATTCTAGCAAACCCGCGTGTTCTGGACTATGTATGGATATGGATATTATGATATTTAGATATTTAGACAATTCTCATAATTTTTGCAAAAGGCTGTACACCTAACCAAAAGAATTCTGCAACTTTTAATATATATATGTCTTTTGTTCTTGAGAGATTAAACAATAGGGAAACAATAGGCATATATATATTGAAAGTTGCAGAATTTTTTTGGTTAGGTGTAGATCTCATTTTTCCGTGCGTGTGTACTCTAATAGATACACAGATGACGTCAAAATGTAGTGAGAACAAAAAACTACGCACGAGACGCAGTCGAGTGCGTGACTGTTGTTCTCACTACATTTTGACGTCATCTGTGTATCTATTAGAGTACACACACACGGAAAAATGAGATCTATCTGTTTTATACAACAAATAATTAGTTTTGACGTAATCCGTGTATCTATACTTTGATAACACATGAAAGCCAACCAATCAAAACGACTGATTTTACTGAAAAGTTGTATAAATTGACATAAAAACAGTGTCAATCTATTTATTATTATGATAACCCACCATTACGAAACAAAAGACTCCCATAAGAAGACACATAAAAAAGCCAAGGATTCTTTGTCTTCTGGACTACAAATATGAAAACAGATGATGATTACGGCAACATTATTATAGTTCAAGTTCTTTCAGACAAGCAAAAATGACAAGGTTTTCGAGTGGCCTACCAAACTTGGCAAATATGGATCTTCCTCAGCCTTTTTGAACCAGCTTCCCCATTGTCCATTCTGCGAAGTTGGGCTGTTTGAACCGCTATTCAAAGTCGTTGTGTYGGGACTGGAATTCTTTTTAGAAGATCCAAAGATCGTGAAATCTTTTAGGGCATTAATTTTGTCTTCCATTTTGTTTTGAACAGATGAGTTGGCCTTGAGATGGAAATCCGCTGAATAATATCGAGGGCGCATACAACAACACAGGAAACCCAATTACTCTTTAAATCAAAATACAAATAWATCAAATATCCTGAGATTCTTAGGGAGAAGAGTAAGTAAAGCATAAGAACAACAATTAAAAATTAACTATGTTGGATTTTTTTTCGCAAAAACTGCAAAGTCTGACAGTAAAAAACGACTTTTATCGAAGGTTCCACGACTCATTCCGAATCTGTACGAACATAGACCGAATATGTACTCGGAGTTTGGTTGCTAAGCTCCAGCTGAAAGACAACCTCCATTTTGTACAACAAAACAACATCTACAATTTCTCGTATTTTTACGAAGTTATTTACGATATGGATGAATACCAGTCCGCAGAAGAAACCTCTTTTGTTGTAGATGAAGTCAGCAACATTATAAAAGAAGGAATTGAAAGTGCAATCGGCGGAAACGCATACCAACACAACAAAGTCAACCAGTGGACTTCAAACGTTGTGGAACAGTGCTTAAATCAACTCACCAAACTTGGAAAACCCTTCAAGTACATCGTTACATGTGTAATAATGCAGAAAAATGGCGCTGGGCTTCATACAGCTAGCTCTTGTTACTGGGATAACACTTCAGATGGGAGTTGTACWGTGAGATGGGAGAACAAAACAATGTACTGCATCGTCAGTGTCTTTGGCTTAGCAATTTAGACTTTTAAACCATCAAGGAACTTTCTTCTACATGCCCTTGACTGAAATAATTATCACTTGTGTTTCTGGGGTCGTTGGACTCTTATCTTCAATGCCAAACTCATGGACAAGGTCACTCAGCCAAGATTTTGAATGTCAAATTAGTTACTAAGATGTCTGCATGAATTTTGATCTTATTATGATCAAGTTCAGATTATATATCGTCTTGACTAGCCTGATTTTCAGACGGGGCCTGGGTCCTACGCTTCACTCCACCCCCACTAGTGAAGCGTAGGACCCAGGCCCCGTCTGAAAATCAGGCTACGTCTTGACTTTCTTGACTTTATTTGTTTTATGAAATATAAATTGTATAAATTCACATCATGCTGTGAACTTTACATCTGCTAATCTAATGTAAATGGGCATATATTTCTTGTATCATTGCTATATTTCTTTGTATAAAAACTGTGAGTTTTCATTAAAGTTTTTGTTTTAAGTTTTGATTATTGTAATGTTATACCTTAAAAATGATGTAAAATTAGGTGTGATAGCAAACTGTCTGCAAACTATCCTCAAGTTAGTTACCAGCCTGCTACAACCATGTCTTTGCATGGTTTTCTCACATGATTTTGTAGACACTTTGGAAATCAAAAGAAGTGATTGCAAGGTTCAAGTATGAATACACCCTTTTAATAAGTCCCGAGGTATTGTTTTTTCTCCGCACTTGACGTCAAATTTATTCTTTTGAAATTTTTGCAATACAAAAGGAATTCAAAAGAATAAATTTGACGTCAAGTGCGGAGAACGTAATACCTCGGGACTTATTAAAAGGGTGTATACAAGGCTATTAAAGCTCCTTAAGTATTTGACACTATTTGTGTCTCAAGGATATTGTCTTTTTCTGTGTAGGGGAGTAGGAGAATGAATGTGTGTCACAAAAAAATGTCAGTTTTACATTTTTTACATTTAAAAATTCTTTATTCCTTTGGAATTTGTAATAATTTTTTTGTTACTTATAAGCACTGTACTGTTAGGGTCTACAAAACCAACCAAGTCAAGTGATGGTGGTTTGGAAAATTATTCGTTTTTTGGGGTTCCTGTGCTCAAAACGGTCTTTAACCTGGAAACCATACAAACATGGCGGAAATGGTACTGTGATAGTCTTTCTCCAAAAATGTGTACCAGATTTAGTTAGAATCATGGTTCGTGTGCTTCTTTGCCATTACTTCAAGTCTCAGAAAGTGTTCAGTGAGTCATACCAGCCAACAAGTTTATGCTCGACAAAGGAATTTCTGTTTGTTGGGATCGGAGGTTGCAAGGTCTTCGTCTACTCTCTCCAACAATCAAACTTTCCCCTCGTATGTCAGTTCTCTACGATATCAACAGCTATTAAACTCATATGCAATGACACTTCTAACTACGTGGCTACCATCGAAAGACGRCAACAGAGAGGTGCAATGAAGTTTTCTCGCGTCTACTTCAACTGGGAGAATTCTTCTTTGAACGACGCAGTTCGAGTCTTAGTTGCAGGTCATTCTCTTCTCCAGCGAGATAGCTCCTATAGTTCTCAATTTCTAGCTATTGAGCTRTCTTCAAAAGGCGCTGTTTCTGCTATTGCTACATGTAAATCAACAGGCAATGTCATTATWGCAACGGATGGCAAACTCTGCCTTTATCGGCAGTGTATCTCAAGGAYACCGGAAGTGAATTYATCAGGATGTCATCTGAGTCAAAAGATTTGTGATTTCGAGCACATTTTGGATATTGAGCCTGGGTTTGTTGTGAGAGGAGTTGACATATGCGAGAACTTTGTTGCGTTTAGGTCCAAGTTGGAATTTAGAGTAGTGAAGTTGGAGTTTTTCAAAGAGAATACCACATTTGCCAAGTTGACCAAAAGCAATGGCGAGAGGTAAAGTCTTGTCATCATTGTGGCTGTCAACGTATTATTACAGTTGAAATCATGAGTAGATTATGTCCCACTGTACAACAGCACAGTTTACATGAAAGTGCATGAGAGTCTAGAACCTACATGTAGTCCAATATGGCTGCCATAAACCCCTCCCCCAATGGGTATTCTCCACAATGTATGGGTTTGAAAATGGCTGTAGAGAGGCTTCATTTAAAAATTTTGATATATTATGAATTTACCACACATAGATGTTCAATTTTGATAATATCACTCACTTGCCCCTCTGAATTCAAATTTTCATTTTTCTGRTATTTTTTTGTTAGTTTTTTTTATATTAATATGACTTAATTTGAATGATATTTTCTTAATAACACTTTCAGTACTATTCCCTGTACTGAAGTCAACAWGGCTCAAGAAAACTCCAAAGAAGTTATTGATGATAATTATATTTTCTGGTCTTTTGATACTGGTTCTGGATCAAACAAAGACTCTCAATCATGGATTCCAAATGAACATCTGTTTCGAACAATCCGCTCTGAATCAACTTACACTGATACTTTCATTGATGCAAAGGAAATCATTGGACCTTTGATTGATGTTAAGGGACACCCACTAAAGGTTGTGTTRGCTGGTCGTTTAGGTATAGGTATCAGTATGCCTAGAGATGGTTTCCAAGTCCAGGCAGTGACAATGTTGTATCGGAGATTCAAAGCTGAATATCTTTGTAATAGTGATGCAGACAGTGCTTCTCTTCATTCACTGCAGCTTTTGCCAACATATGTTAAATGTAAGTTGAAGGCTGTTTTGACTTGCTGCAATTAGTCTCCTTCACTTTTAACGTCAAGGATCCTTCACGGTTCCCTGCGCCATCTTGAAAAGTAGCCGTTTACATCAAAGTGAGGCAACTGTTGAGTGTGCAATGATAGATACCTGTGAATAATTGTCTGCAGGTGTGAAAGAAGGTTTCTTTCATTGCAAGCTCAACCGCCATCTCGCTTTGATGCAAAGGCAYGGGTACCTTTCAAGATCGCACAGGAAACTGTGAAGAAGAGTRTTGTTCACATGACATGATTCCATTACTATGGCATCTTGCAGGATTTGTTTAAAAGCATTAGACACCTTATAAGCTCTATGCATCTAGTTATAAACACATTTAYATGGTAAAATTCAATTATGTTCTCCATGTTGTATGCAGTGTGTACATTAATAATGTTGTTTAATTTTAGGTGTGGAACCACACCCTGACATGMCGCCGTCACCTCTTTCACCTTCTGTTGATGGTAGCTTGTCATTATGTGGTATGTGCATCTTGGTGTCTGGTCCTAAAGAGGGCTACATCTATGATATTTTCAAACTTCCAAAACTACTTTCAGTGTACAAATACACTCGTGACACTCTGAAAGTTTCTGCTTGTCATATGCTMTTGCATGCSATTACCAAACAAGGGCTAGAGACTTATACGGTTAGAATGTTTGCTGCTGCATCCGAGTCCATTCGYCATGAAAAAGCTGATAGATTGYACAACAAACAATTAGAAGCCACWGTAARAWCTGAAAAATCACAGAAAWGTGCATCAAGTGACGGCAAATGGTCACTAGAAGAAGAAAAGGAWTCAATCTGCTCTCAGGACGAAAGTCTCAGAGATGATCTATCTGACGTGTCTTTGACTGTGGAAGATGATTCATTGCCTGGCGATCACATTTCTAAGAATACACAATTAGAACATGGACTGGGTCCTCTGGATGAGGGACCTGGAGAGGAGTACTTGGGCRGCAGCCATGAGGCAGTAAAAGTTGCCTTGAAACCAATGGTTCAAGTTGATTTCCAGGRTTTGCGACAGAAAACACACCCCAACCTCCCTGTCCATGACCTGGACTGTTTGGACAAGGTAAGGTTACCTTYATAATCTTTTCCATACCAAGTAATTTTGAATCTGTTCCTGGTRTTTAAGTTGATTTTTGTTCTAGCTACTCCTATAGCAGTTGTGAGTAATTGTTGTTGTTTCTAAACGTTGAAAGTTATCCTTTAGCAGCATAGTTGACTGATGTGGAAAATACAAAATGTAGCCGAAGCCGCTAAGTCTGTAGATCGAGTTTACAACAAAACTATGATTCCAAGCTTTCGCTGTCTACAGCATTGTAAACTCGATCTACACACTTAGCGGCTTCGGCTACATTTTGTATTTTCCACATGTTGTTGTTTCTGTTATTATTGATGCCATAGTTACTGTTTGCTCTTTTTTTGATGTTGTTGGTATTGTTGTCACTGCTGTTGTTGATAGTGCTTTTGRTGCTGTTGTAGTTATARAGTCCATCATGTCTTTTCTTCAGATCTGCCCATCTTCTACTCTTGATATATGTCTGATTGGCATGCACCCTTTTGCTGATCCATCATACGTCATGTGCACAGATGAAAGTGTTATACTATTTACAAGAGTATCACATGACCCAAAGAAAAGGTAAATGAGAATGCATACTAATGAACCATAATCCATTGC